GCCGACATTAAAGTACAGTAGTTTAGGCCTATTTAACACCATATACAGTTTACCTGAAACAATTTCATTTCATATATGAATGTTATTCATTTTAACGGTCAGAATGTGACAGGGGTTAAATAATAACAACTGTACTGCATTAAAACTCCACAGCAGGTGGGATATCCAGTCTTTAAGTGATGACCTGATGAAACTTGCTTCCGGGTCCAAACTACATTTATAAAGGCTGCTGTGTTTTTAACATTTTTTAATGCTTTGTATTTTTTTCTATTTTACAGTGGCTTGCAAAAGTATTCGGCCCCCTTGAACTTTCCCACATTTTGTCACATTACAGCCACAAACATGAATCAATTTTATTGGAATTCCACGTGAAAGACCAACACAAAGTGGTGTAGACGTGAGACGTGGAAGGAAAATCATACATGATTCCAAACATATTTTACAAATAAAACACTGCCAAGTGGTCCAAACTGCATTTATAAAGGCTGTTGTGTTTTTAACATGGTTTAATGCTTTGTATTTTTTTTCTATTTCATATGAACAAACCCCTCCTGGCATTCTCCTGGCTACTGGGAGTTTCGGCATCCAGGCAATAGTTTTCGACTCACCAACGGTATCTCCCGGGCCATCAGCGTGACAGCGCCATGCCGTCTTTGCAGTTTTAAAGCTCAGGGAAACGCTCTATAGCGGTCATGACCGCTGGCAAAAAGGAAAAGCTACTCTTTATAAAAAGGCAACCCTCATCACATTTTCTGACCCATCATAACAGCCCATTTCACACACGTCTTTAAATCATCCTCTGCCGAGCAGCCTCCGAACCATGAAGAAACTTTCCTGAACTTTACACTGGTGTATAGTGTTACACAGCATGATGTTTCACTGTGAGTCTGAAGTTTTGATCATAGTAAACCTGCATAACTCCTGTTGTTTTTTTAAATATAGAAAATAGAAGCATAGGTGGTAACTTGTAATTGGCTAAAAATCTCTTAGCCTACTGGTGAGAGGGGTGTTGCTACCTGTTACCGTAATTGTCGGGCTATAAGCCGCTACTTTTTGCACAAGCTTTGAACCCTGCGGCTTTTAGTCAGGTGTGGCTTTTCTATGGATTGTCCATGATTTTTGTCATATCGTAAGACGATTTGTTTTGTTTGTTCCGCTGTTGTACGGCACTACGTAGCCTGGCGGAAGGGCATGTGATCAGACACACAGTATCGGGGTTCAAGAGTGGTATGTTGGTCACATGTCCATCCGCCAGGCAACATAGTGCCGTACAAGAAGCGCGAAAAACAAACTTCAAAGTAGCGCTACGCGTTCAGCGGGAGGCGTGGATGATGTGCGGCGATAAACTTGCGAAAAGCAAGTTATGCCCAACTCCACCGGTGGAATCTGACAGCGTGGAAAAGTGTGAAAACATCCATGATCACCAACGGATTTCGAAGGGCTGGACTGCTGCATGATGGAGAGGAGGACACCGCCACGGCCCTTCAGAGGGTGTTCGACTCTGACACTGACAACGAAGGAAAGAAGCTGAGAGTGGATGACTAAGCCACCCTGAGCCTGTTCGTTTCCGACACTGGAGAAGAGGACTTTGGTGGTTTTAGTGCGCAGGAAGATGATGGTGAATGACTGACTTTTCTTCTTGTTAAAGCCGTGTCACTGCACCTGAGCCTAAAAGGTAGTCCGAATCTATTTTTCTGGTGTGCTGTAGGTTATTGTTATGTACTACATTTGTTACTCATTTATGAAGCGCAGTACATGTTTCATACTTGTAATTACCGCTACTTTTACATATACCTAAAAAGTTGTGCAAATATGTACCCATAACTTGTTTTTCAAAATATTAATAAAAGGGGTGTGTCTCCAAACAGCCATCTCTTTCCTGACATTTCGCTTTGTGCATATTCTCTTACATATGATGAGTCAACATTGAAACACCTGCGGCTTTTAGTCAGGTGCGGCTAATGTATGTACAAAACAGGATTTTCCCCTGATTTTAGCTTGTGCGGCTAATATTCAGGTGCGCTTTGTAGTCCGGGAAATACGGTAGTTCTTTCAGGCAATGTTGAAATTTCCACATTCTGACGCTTCAAATGCCTCAGGAGCTGTCCGCTCAGTGCAGCAACTGTTAATATAGAGCGTTATTAAATTTATTGCTAATGCAATCATATCGCACATTGACTTCTGAGGAAATTTTAGATTGCACTCGTCATCAAAAAGGTTGCCTACCCCTGCTGTAGAGGAAGGTGAGTAACAATTAACCAACTTGAAAGAAGTGTTGTTAAAGTGAAATCATTTATTACACAAACAAATAAAGGTTCACCAGCAGTCCAGGGCTGGTGGATGTCGTCAAACCAAAGAAAAGAAAGTGAACTCCAGTTCTTCTATTAGAACATGTGTGACATTTTGTGTGTGTCTGGTGAGCATTCAAAATATTGGAAAATATTTGCTCAATAATACTAAGATTTATTCTTATATTGTTTTTTACAGGTAAAAATTGTTTTGCAGAAATGCATAAAAAAACAGAAATAAAGTGACATAAGAGCAAGAAAAAAAGAAAATAAAGCCAGAACTCCAATGATGGATTAAAAATATTTGGTACAATGAAAAACTGATGTCAACACAGAGATTAAATACAGGGCTTCTCCACAGATTAGACTACACAATAATCTGCAAATGTAAAGAACATTTCTTAGAAAGTTATGCTAAGAAATGCTTTGGTTTAACTAAGCCTTTAAAAGTGATTGAAACACTGGAAATTTTGAGCTAGACCGTCACTGAGTAGCTTCTCTGACTTTTCGCTAAACAGGAAGTGACCTCTGCCCTTACCTTAAACTTATTAAATTAATTGATTATTTCCCTAAATGTCAAATCAACAGTATGCTAATCCTTTATAAAAACAGGAATATCAAATGCGTTATTTACACTTATGAAGTCTCTTAATGGCATTAGCTTTACAAGAGCTCTGCCTATTGGTGAAACAGAGACACTAGCGTTTCCACAGCTGTGTGTGTGTATACATACATACATATATATATGTATATATATATATATATATGTATATATATATATATGTCTTGTGCTGCGACCACAAGACACTGATTTAGTAAAAGGACTAGATGTTTAATCCCTGATAATGCATTGCTTTGAATTGAGAGAATCTTGAAGGATTGCTGTTATGAGGAAAGGCAGCCCAGAAACTCCATCAGCAGCTTTTGGTTTTTTACCCAAGCTAATCTGCCGTTGTTTCTTCCTTGGTAAGGCTGAGACACCCTCATCCAAGGAGACCCTGCCAGGGTTGATCAGGCCCCGGAGTGTTTCACTGGTTTATGTTAAATTGTTATTTCTCTTCTTCTTTCTTCTGTTTAGTTTTCTACAGTTTACTTTCTTCTGTCCACTCACTGCACTTACTTAGTACTTAGTTCCTCCTACGCCGGGCGGCGCATTGGGCAGCTAGTGATCTCCATCGATGTCGGTCAGCAGCAACTGCTTCAGCTTCGTCCCAGGTAATATCGACAGTTCTCAGATCGTCCATGAATGTTCGACGCCATGTGGTCTTTGGTCGGCCTTGCTTTCGCTTGCCAGTGCGTGGACGCCATGTCATGGCAATCTTAGCTGGGCGATGAGGGGGTAGGCGTAAAATATGGCCCGCAAAGCGGAAGCGCCTTTCTGCAACAACATCGGCTAATGGGAGGGTGCCTGCTCTTCGCAGGACCTCCTCATTTGTTATTCGGTCCCGGTAGGAAATTCTCAGGATTCGCCGCAGGCCACGTTGTTGAAGAACGTTCAGGTGTAGAATAATTGCACTTGTTGAGCGCCAGGTTTCACTAGCGTAAAGTGCAGTAGGGAAGACAATAGAGTTCAGTAGTCTGATCTTGACCCTAACATTCAGGGAGGTCGAGTTCCAAATAGGTTGGAGACGTCGCAGGACACCAACTGCCTTCCCTACTCTGGTGTCGACATCCCGATCAGAGACCCCGTCATTCGAGATGATGCTGCCAAGATATGTAAAATTCTCCACCTCTTCAGCTCTTCTTCTTTTCTTCTTCTTCCACTCACTGTTTAACATTTATGGAGCCTCACTTCTTCAAAGGGATAGAAAAGTTGATAGAGAGAAGTAAGACAAATTGGACAAGATAGCAGAGAGGAGAGCCGGAAGGGGGGCGCCTGATCTGGCTTCCCACTCCTCCCCACCGGATCGGGCTGTTCGCTCTACCTCCCCACTGCCTCCCAGAAAAGGAGAGAAGAGCAGAATATTTACTTTTCTCGCGCGGTTAGCTGACTGCCTTAGCTGCTCAAGTGATGTCAGCCCTTTTTAACCATAGCCAGTGACTGGTCCTCTCAGCAGTGTTAGCTAGTTCTCTTATAGCCTGCCTGTTTTTCGCAGGTAAAATTTGTTTTGCATAAATGCATAAAAAGCAGAAATAAATGCCTGTCGTCTGATCCAAATCTCTCTAAGGAGTTTTGCTGTTGTGCTGGCAGCAAAGCCCCTGCACTCATCTTCCACCGGGCGTACATTGATCTTCTGATCTGTCCTCTGCTCAGCTGCCAAGTTTAGCTTTAACACCCCACTCACACAATGTACATTCTAAGATTTCGAACTGCAAATTTCCAGATTGTTTTATTTGATTTCATTTATATAATGTATATAACTCACTCACTTACTGCACATAATGTCCTTTTTCTATATATTCACTCACTGTATATAATGTTCTCTCTGTTTTTGTGCACAGTCCTGGAGCATATCAGGTCACATTTCAATGTGTGTTGTACTTGTATAACTACGCATGTGACAAATAAACAATGTTGAATCTTGAATATATATATATATTTCGTTTTGCTACTCGGGCCCAATAATGTTCTTTGTGGGCTGCATGAACTTTTTAAAAGTCTACTCAGTGAGCATCATCTACTAAAACACTAGTGGAATGCAATAGGCAATGTGTGTGACTATTTGTGAGAGTCTGGTGGGCACTGAAACAACAGAAGAAAAAAAATTGCTCAATAATACCAAAGTTTATTTTTGTATTACCACATTGCACTTCACATAAACACATGATGCACAGAAAGAGATTCACAAATAAGACAAAAAAAAGGACAAATAAAACCTGAACGCCAATGATCAATTAAAAAACAATGAAGTCAACAGCATGAATAAAATACAGGTTTATGCCACAGGTTAGAGTAAAAATTAATCGACAAATGCAAAAAAGAAAGTTTTAAGACAGTCAGGCTGAGAAAGCGCTCTGGTTTGAATAATCCTTTAAAGGTGATGGAAATACTGGAAATACTGATGCAGCAGACAGACTTCACACCTTCTTCATTTTGGCAGTGACTACAGAGGAAAAACAGACAAGCAGCAGCTTCAGTTTTTTTCTGTAAATACTTTGCATTTATTTCTGTGTGTTTCTTTTTAGCACGACTTACGATCTTTGACCCACTGAGCGTCTGGATCAGCACAAAGTTGTTTCCTATCTTTTGTGTTAAAACTGGAAATAAAAGACAGAAAATTATAGAGATTGTATATGTTTGTATGTAGGACAACGTGTGCTGACTTACATTATAGCCTTCACACAGCTTCCGCTTGCAGCCTGCTCACGATATGTTTCCCCCACCACCTCAGCAGTCTTATTGCCTTTGGTGATGTCAACGCAGCACGGTGGTTTCAGTCCAGGATGACGATGACGAGTACCTGGGAGATAAAAGGTTAAAAAGAGATTTTTCTTACTAGGGAGAAGTATAATTAGAAGGAAAATAAAAGTTAGATCTAGTTTTAAAATATGAAGCTCCTTACATCACTAAACAGAAGATGACTTTTAAAATGTGACCTGAAATTATGTTACAGTGCACAGGCATTTTTTGTGCAAATCAATCATCAAGTTTAACAAATCAATGTTCTCAACACAATTTGGGGCCCTCGATTACTTTTTGGGCAATTCTGGCATTATGTTAATTAAGTGAAAGGTGAAAAATATTTTCTCGTAGCTGCAAGATATTATCTTATACTCTCTCTGTGTCTCTCTCATTTTCTGCTTTCATGCCTTATGCAATGAGTCACAATGTATGCACCCCTCCAAAAACCCACTGAAATGATGACTTTGCTAAAAACTAAAATGAAGCAGTGAGATGTAGTTACAGAGTGAATTTGTTTGAAGGAAACCACTGCACCAACTGTGCTACACTAATAAGTTGGCAGTTATGATAGTTTAAGTGTCAACATATGCCTGGCATGCAACGCAGCGTGAGACATAACCCCATAAGTGACAGAAAACAAAAGTAGAAAACATAAATAGTACAAACATTGTTAATGGTAAGCAGTATAGCGGGAATGGATATGGTGTGGCTGTCAGTCAGTCCAGCAATCGAACACAAAAGTCAGGTGAATGTCGTGCTTATAAAATAAAAATCTCCAAGACTTCTTCTAAATGTCGATGTAAAGGACGCCTTTAAAATGCTATCACGGACTAATGAAACTTAGCCCAGAAAACAGCTTCCAGGGTGTCTGGAGCTTTGTGGGTAGAAGTCAAGTAAATGCTGGAAAACACATGTGCAATTATAGACTGAGCAGATACCAGAATATGACTGATGTAAAGGTTTGTGGTCTTTACACAGTGGTCCTGCCCAATAAAACACCAAAATGTCAGAAGTGAACCTTATTCGCAAACAGGCAGCAGCCATTGTTGGAAATATTCATTGCTGTGATCAAATGATCTATTTTATCTCTTTTTTTCCTCATTTTTCTTTATAAAAGTAAGAGCACAGTTACCTTCAGAGGAGTGGCAGCACACACACACCGAGAGCAGGAGGAGAGTGATGGAGAGGATCTTCACAGTCATTTTCACCGGCAGTCTGGCTCACTGATCAAGTTGAAACTATACGCTGACCAATGCTTGGTTATTTATTGGTAAGTGCAGGAACACATGCAGGCACAACTGATGAGGTGTGATTATAGGTCTGTGTATTTGTGTGCAGGGTGTGGCATATCACAAACAGCCTCACATACACGAAGTTCACAGATACTCAGATATGGTGTAGAGCCTGATGATTGATATCAACAGTCATGAGTAATGAATCTAAATCACCCACTGACTTTTGTTTGTCAGTGACTCATGATGCCCCTTAACAGTCTTGATACACATGGATGCTTATTTTTTCTTATAAATTCCCACGACTTAAACTTTTTCTTGTAATTTCACATAAATTGTTTAAGGTTTCTTGTTTGCATCAAGCTGTTTTACTACTGGAAACACAAAAGAACTCACTCTTAATGTTTATTTTATTTATGTTAACTTTTGGCAGATGATCAGATAAGTTTCACACTCTGCTCTGCAGGAAATGTGTGGCAGAAATGTGATCATGTCGACTGTCTTTATCTTCCAACACACACACACAGATCAACAGTTTCTAACACAGACTAAATACATCACATGGAAAATGGTTTGTGTATGCATTGCTAATTTCCCCCCTCATAGCCGCATTAGCTATCCCATTTCTTTTATTCAGACTTAAATATACATAAAGCATAAACTTTCTGACAGATGGCCTCATATTTGACTCTAAAATACTGTTCCTGTGGTTGCTGTGCTCTATTTGTGCTCACCTGCAGTGTTTAGTTTCAATAGATGTGATGCTGTGCATTATAGCTAAAAACTGTCTTCTCTGGTCTCATTGGTTCAAAGTTCCAGAAGTGTTTATTGCAGAAAGTCAAGGCACCTTTGGTGAAGGTGGATCTTGGCCAGGTCTCCCTTGAAAAAGAAGATTTTAATCTCTTCCTGGTTAAATAAAGGTTAAAATAAAAATAAAAAAAGTCCCCTCACCAAACACATTACTCTATTCCATTTTTCAGTAATGTAACATGTTTTTGTACTACATTCAGTAATAGTAAAATACAGACTAAGTGCCCATGTATAGATCATTTCCCCCTCATAGCTGTATTAGTTGTCCCATTAGGATGCTGTTATTTATTGGCTGCTTTGACTGACAGATATCCTCTCAGCAGATGTCTGATAGGCCTCATCTGCACTAACTGAACTTGTCCTCTCACCATGGTTGTTCTGTTGGTGCCTTTTTAGAGCATTTTGAATGTAAATCCCTGACAAGAACAGCAAACCCTCATCCCCGAACGATTATCGGCCAGTTGCACTGACCTCGGTAGTAATGAATGTATTTGAGAGGCTCCTCCTCCATCCCAGACACCACAGATCCGCTCCAGTTCGCCTACCGATCCAACAGATCCACTGAGGACGCCATCGCCCACGTCCTGCACACCACCCTCAGCCACGTGGACAAGAAACGGGGTAACTATGTGAGAATGCTGTTTGTTGATTACAGTTCAGCGTTTAACACAATAGTGCCCTGCAGACTGTTCACAAAGCTGAGGGATCTGGGACTTAACAGCCGTCTGTGTGCATTGGTGTTGGACTTCCCCACTGGCAGAACTCAGGTGGTGAGGGTGGGTAGATGCGTCTCTAACAGCACCTCAGGGATGTGTCCTCTCGCCACTGCTCTACTCCCTCTACACTTCAGACTGTGTGGCCACCCTTGGTTCCAAGACCATTGTGAAGTTTGCTGACGACACAGTGGTGTTGTGCGTCATCTCCAACAACGATGAGGCGGCCTACATGGATGAAGTGAAGAATCTGGCATCATGGTGCCAGGACAACCATCTCCAGCTGAATGTTGGCAAGACCAAGGAGCTGGTGGTGGACTTCAGAAGGAGTCAGCACAGAGACTACAAGCCCATTATCATCAATGGAGCTCCAGTGGAGAGGGTGTAGTCCTTCAAGTATCTCAGTGTCCACATCTCCTCAGCGCCTGTAACACCTACAACAACTGAGGAAGATCAGAGTCTCTCCAAAGATCCTCAGGATTTTCTATACAGGCGCTGTGGAGAGCATCCTCACACAGAACATCACATCGTGGTTTGGGAACAGCTGTGTGAAGGACCAAAAAGCTCTTCAGAGAGTGATCCGTACAGCAGAACACTGCTGCAGGATTGCTCTCCCCCCGCTTCAGGACACCTACACCAGGAGATGCCGGACTAGAGCAGCGCAGATACTGAATGACCCGTCCCATCCTGGCAACAAACTGTTCCAACTTCTGCAATCTGGTAGAAGGTTCTGCATCATCCAGGCAAGGACAGAGAGACTCAAGAGGAGCTTCTATCCCCAAGCCATCTGGGACCTACCCCCCACCTGCATTACTAAACAGTGATTTTGTTTGTGAGAGTGTCTCATGACAATGACATAAGTGTGTGTGACATCAGTGGCAGCAACAGACGTGTGCAGATCAACAATGAATAATATGGAGTGCGGAAGAGGGTACGACTATGCAGCATTTAAAGTGCAGAAGTACTGACATTACTTTGAGCTTGATTCCATAAAAAGTGACAAAAACAATAGCGTCCCCTGTACACTCTTTCTACAGCAAAAAATTAAACTTCAAATCTGAGCAAGCACCTAGCACGCTTCCACAGGAATGTGAAATTCACAGAGAAACCCCCCGATCCTCCCACTGACATGACCACTGCAGCACCAGGCAAACCTCTGCTGGCTCCACTCCTGCTAAACAGGTGACAATAGATTTAAGAACAAAAGGATTTATTGCTGCTTAATCTTAGATTTTATTTATTTTCTGCTGCGTTTTACTTGCATCTATATGAAAAACTCAGTGTAAACACAAAAAATTATTTTATATATGTTGGAATATGCAGAAAATAGGTTTAAATGTTAAACAAATTTCTTCAAGTCAGAGACTGCTGCATATAATTTAATTTTTGCTTGATGCAATTTGCATAAAGTTAAAACTAATAAAATCAATTTTAAAAAGAGACTTTTTCATTTGATTCAATTTTACATGATCCATTATGCATAAAAAATAGAAATGGGCTGTATGTATTTATTACATATTCAGGTTGTGTGTCATGTTTTTACAAAGTCAAAGTTATAAAGTAACACTTTACTTTCTTGGAGAAGTAATCAGTAATTAGTAACGAATTACTTTTTTCAAGTTAAAAAAAACCACTAAACCAAACCACACAGTATTTGTTGTAATTCAATTAATTGAAAAGTTTCTGTTTTTCAGTGTGGATTTGTTTTGCCTGGTACTAGTGAGCCTGTGGGCCACTAAAGTGCGTTTTAGTTCTTGCTTGTGTTTTCCCTCTCTTTAGATTTGTGTTGTGTTTTCTTTTTCTTTTGATATTGATCTAGCGATGTTGCTCTCTCTTTGTGTTAAGAATAAAGTTTACAATTTAACAATTTCTGCTTTATTCATTCTTCCTCCTCACACACTCCCCTACATTTCCATCTCATGGATGTAACAGGAATCATATAAGCAGAAAAAAAGGAATAAAAGATAATTCCTAGCTTAAAATAACATAAGAACTCAATGGGTCCATCTAAATTTCAGCGTTAAGCATCACTTTCAAATAAAGTCATACATGACTTAAATCCGACATCAAGAATTTCCTCTTCAGTAAGAAGAGGGTGATGTAACCTTAAAAATTTAAAGTGCAAATATTAAAAAATTCATAAGTATAAGTGACTATGAGCAGATCCTGATGTGGCAGAAGAGCTGCAATGTTTCAGCCTTTGTGGGAAACTCCCTGGTCATGTTGCCAATGACTTGAGAGGAAAGAGACACGAAGACGAGTTTCAGTTCATCTCCACAAATATTTTTTTTATATGTGTGTGTATCTGTGTTTGAATAACTTACGGTCCTTGACCCACTGAGTGTCTGGATCAGCACAAAGTTGTTCATATTCTGTATTCAAACTGGAAATAAGAGACAGAAAATTATAGAGAGAACTGAAAAGGTCTGATTAGAAGGAAAATCAAAGTTAACTCCAAGTTTAAAATGTGATGAAACTCCTTACATCACAAAACAAAACAAATGCTACTTGAAACTATGTGACAGTGAGCGAGCCTTTTTCATGCTTCACTCTGTAAAATTTTACAGTTTGACAGATAATGAAAAAATGACTTTCAGTGATCAAAGTGCATGAAGCAATCAACAAGTAACAGTATGTTTGTTGTACTGTCTTCTACCCCTCAGCCCAATAGGTATTATTGTATCTTTAATTCACAAGTCAAAACATCTTTAGGTCACTTCTGCTGTGATTTGATGTTATATAAATAAAACTAGATTATATTGAAAGTTAACAATGTTTAATCATACAAGGCAGTGCTCTAGAGTGCGACCAGTTTGGTCCCAAATGCGACCTTATTTCTCAATAGTGCGACTAAAAAAAATCCTAGGTTGCACCGGTGAGACCAGCCATTCGAGTAAAAAAAAAAGTCGATAACAATAACACATTATGCCCATATTGTGATCTAAACCAATCAGAGATAGTCAAGGGCGGGACCTCTATGATGCCCATGCCCAAGGTAACATGTTCAGATATTGAGATATTTTAAGTTTAAATTTCAGCTGAGGCACTTTAAGCACAAGAACGTTTTCATATTTTTCGTCGTGCGTCCACACTGAAACAGATGAAAACGCTTACGTTCCAGTCCTGCGCATGCGCAAAAGCGAGTGAGAATTAAAAAATTTGAAGAAAAGCTAGCTGGAGCATGTACAAACTGATATTCATCCTTTTTAGGGCTGTCAAAATTGAGAGCAATCAAAACGACCGCTGTATAATGTATATCTTTGTTTATTTGGTCACATGACTGCATCACATGACTAAAATATGTATTTGTTTTAGAAAGTCTGCGTTTTTGTGTGTCCACACTGCGACTGCACAGCTGCAGTTTGAAATGTATGCGTTTTCAAAAACGCTGCGTTTTCAAACGAACACCCATTAGTGTGGACCTAGCCTTAAATATAGTGTATAAAACAGTTTGTGTATTGTCACAAATGATGGATTTAAATCACACGTCGATTATTGTTTTTCCATTTTAACTAACTGTGACTGTTTA